TGGGTCTGGGGCTCCCAGTGCTGAACTGGGATGGGTCTGGGGCTCCCAGTGCCGAACTGGGATGGGTCTGGGGCTCCCAGTGCTGAACTGGTCCCTCCCAGTCCCAAACTGGGATGGGTCTGGGGCCCCCAACCCCAAACTGGGCTGGGTTTGTGTTCCCCAGTCCCAAACTGGTTCCCCTCCCCCCCCATTTCCCTTCCAGACCCGGTTCCTCCCGGTTCCCCTCCCGGTTCTCTCCCCCGTTATCCCGGTTCCCCTCCCGGTTCTCTCCCCCGTTCCCGGTTCCCCTCCTGGTTCCCCCCGGTTCCCTCCAGTTCTCCCGGTTCCCCTCCCGGTTCTCCCCAGTCCTCTCTCTGGTTCTTCCCGTTCCCCTCCCGGTTCTCTCCCCCGTTCCCAGTTCTCTCCCCGGTTCCCCTCCTGTTCCTGGTTCCCCTCCCGGTTCTCTCTCCCGTTATCCCGGTTCTCTCCCCGGTTCTCCCGGTTCCCCTCCCGTTCCTGGTTCCCCCCGTTCCCCTCCCGGTTCTCTCTCCCGTTCTGCCGTTCCCCTCCCGGTTCCCCCTGGTTCTCCCGTTCCTGGTTCTCCCGGTTCCTCTCCCGTTCCCGGTTCTCCCGTTCCTGGTTCTCCCGGTTCCCGTTCCTGTTCCTGGTTCTCCTGGTTCTCCCGTTCCCGGTTCTCCCGGTTCCTCTCCTGTTCGTGGTTCTCCCGTTCCCGGTTCCCGTTCCCGGTTCTCCCGGTTCTCCTGTTCCCAGTTCTCCCGTTCCCGGTTCTCCCGGTTCTCCCGGTTCTCCCAGTTCTCCCGTTCCCATTCCTGGTTCTCCCGGTTCTCCCCATTCCCGGTTCCTGTTCCCGGTTCTCCCGGTACTCCTGTTCCCGTTCCCGGTTCTCCCGTTCCCAGTTCTCCCCATTCCCGGTTCCCGGTTCCCGTTCCCGTTTCTCCCCATTCCCAGTTCCCGTTCCCGGTTCTCCCGGTACTCCTGTTCCCGGTTCTCCCATTCCCGTTTCTCCCCATTCCCCGTTCCTGGTTCTCCCCATTCCCAGTTCCCGGTTCTCCCATTCCCGGTTCCTGTTCCCGTTTCTCCCCATTCCCCGTTCCCGGTTCTCCCCATTCCCGGTTCCCGTTCCCGGTTCTCCCCATTCCCCGTTCCCCCTTCCCCTTCCCTCTTT